TGACGACATATGCAACCAAATAAATTTCTAAAAAGACTTTATCTTTTGTATTTGTTATTATATCATGGACATTTGATATCTTTTGTTACGGACTATATTATATTTATAGACATTTTATAGGCCTTTATCATTGTTCTTTATGTTATGGACTGTCTAATATCATTTACCATTAGTAATTTAACATGTAAACTAAAAAATTAACACATTAATAACTGTTGTGCAATTTCGTAATCAATACAGGCGATATTTTGTAATTGGATTTTAATAATCAACTTGGCTAAGTATAATGACGTCATAATTGAACATAAAAAGTTATTCCGCATTTTTATATTAAGCGTGGCTTAATACGATGACATGTTAACAAACCGGGTTAACACGGGGTGTTACACAACAACCTACATCTATTATGGTCTCCTGCCAATAGAGGCTTCCGCACCATCAATTCCTTAAAGGGGATCCCCATAACACGGGATGAGATGAACATTTTAGTAAACTAAGGGTCCTTAGAGGATTTCTGCACCCTAGAGTTCACTTAAAGTGTAAAAGAAATAACAGTAAATAATACATATATACATATCTATGCAGTGTGTAAAACATCTTCATAAGACATCCCTCAGGAACTCTCGCCATCCTCAGGATTCTCAGATGTAAAATAGTCCTACTGGCCAGAAAATCTACCAAGTATGAATTACGCATCGTCAGACAACATACAAACATAGAAAAAAACAATATCCTATGTTGCACCCAGAGCATACTCATACATATATCAATGCATTAAATTACTATCTATTGCAATTACATACACCAATAATAACCACTACCCCATCAGGGCTTGATGGAACAATAAAGGGATAAATCTCAAGGTTCGAAGGCTTACCTCCATTGCTTCCAGCCAACCTTTGTATCATGACCAAGGATTCGACCAACAAAGCTTTATACCAAAGCCACAGCCTAATAAAATAAACACCTACACAAAGGTGCGATACAATCAATCACATGCATCAATGAATACCTCTATATTCATCAATAACATTGGCAATACAACACCATACACAAGGTGAAGAACTTACCTACACTTGGTTTAATTCAAACAACCAAGTCAAGTTCCATAGGTTCAACCGATTCTTGATCAATCAAATACGGTCCACTTGCTTCAATCATATCCATGACATGGACATAATCACTACTAACATCACACACTCTAATATCCATTACTTGGAATGCAAGAAATCACTACACCTAGCATGCATTTTTTAAAAATAACATTGTGTGCCAAAGTGGTGATCTAATGACATTTCTACTATTTAAATAATCTCCAAAGCAATCTTTCTAACTACAACCAAGCTTAATTCATGCTCTAATATAGCCAACCACTCTACATTATCAAAAACCTTATGTTTTCCAATCTTAAAGAAAATTCACAAATAGGTTTGGAATGCTTACCACAAACAACTCTACAATGGCCCAAGGTTGAGCAACAAGCCTCCAATGTCCCAATATGGCACACCAAGCACCTCAATCAATAGTGGGGCACCACTTCTTGAGGTGATAACTCCATACACAAGCTCCCTCAATGGATTCTAAGCTATGGGTTTTGCTTAGGTTAGGAAACTAATCACTTTTGCTCTTTACACCAAATGATTTAATTGAAAGACAAGATACCTAGGGTTTTGAAGCTCAAAAATGCTCATTAATGGTGCAACTCTCTGTTTGGAGAGGGAATAGATAAGTTGGTGGAGTGAAATAAGTCAGTTAAGTGTGTTATCATTTCTCGCGCCGCTCGCTGGGCTCCTCGCTCTAGCGAGTAACCATCAGCGAGCTCTTTCCACGCTCGTTGGACAGCTCACTCCAGCAAGCTTCCCAGCGAGGAGTGGCTGATAGAGCCTTTTAGCGCAAAAGCCCAATTTTCTCACCTAAGCCCACTTACTCACCTAAACAGTGTTTTTCTACATAACACTCTCCACGTCGATTGAATTAAGTGTTCCCCTTATTTTATCTACAATATACTTAGTTAACATTTAATCTAATTTAATTAAGCCTTTTACTTAATTAATCTTCTGTATGATGATTACTTAATTAAACCAATACAGTGAGACATTTTTCAAATTAGGGTTATTATAATATATATATATATATATATATATATATATATATATATATATATATATATATATATATATATATATACATTATGTGTTGTTTACTAACATACCTTTAGAATGTTGTGGTAATAGAGTCAAGCACATGTCATGATGTTCCGGGAATTGAGTCGTGGGCATACCACGATCCTCATCATTGTCCGCTAGCATCCTCGGTAAGAAGATGATCTTCCATTGAAATATTTTCATCATCATCATAATCATCCATAACCCAAGTAGGGCCATTTTCATCTTCCTATGACAGATTAACAACTGGAGCAGCAGATGATGATACATAATGCGGAGAATTGAAAGCAACTGACCTCATGGGTAAAATAACATCCTCTGCCGCAACAATATCCACGTACAACTCTAAGAAATCTTTTCTTGACTGGTTGAAGAATTCTCCCATTACCATATCTACATCTTCATCACCCCACAACTTGCATACTAATGTATTGTTCTTCGCACCATATTCTTGCCGTGACTAGAGTGATAGATTTGTTAACTTTGAGAGCTAACTTTTGACGGATTTTCTGATGCATTTATAGTCAATAGTTGAGTTGCGCTTGATACGTGTTGACATTATCTTGCCTTCCACTTTCCTACCATTATAATATAGAACAACACGAACAGAATTAGAATGTGAACTCATTATTTTATATATATATAAACAAAAAAAACACATAAAAAAGTATGAATAAGCAAGTGCTAATATATCTAAGAGTATGTGATTATGGTGGAGAAGAATTGAAAAAAGTGTGAAGAGGAGAGAGGTTTAAAAAGAGGACAAATAGGCAAATCGCATCCAAACTGAGCATGTAAGTGGGTCCTGTGTGAGGTGCGACCTGTTGTGCCTACCTAGAACGTGTCTAATTGCTATAGATCCCTAAATTGGTTACAAAATGCTATGTTTTCATAATTTTTTATTTAAATAATATTATTTAAAGTTTTTTTTGCGTTTGGATAGTTTGTTTTTTACGTTGAAATGTCATTGTGTGCCCCTACTGCAGATGCATTCTTCCTCGATTAAACATACAAAAGAAAAAAAATCATGATGCGCACATGATTCATACGAATACACTCAGTAATTTTATATATTCTCATTATTTCAACAATGTCTAAAAATCTGATATTTAGGTTTTTACTTTTTAAATACATAACTTTATATTTTAAAATAATTTTATTTTACAATACTCAAGATTTTAAAATAGTTTCTTTAGCAATCTATTCTCTTAATCAATTCTTTTAAGATCAATTTTTTAACATAAATTCTCTTACAATTAATTAACTCAGAAAATTTTTACGAGAATTCTTTTTATAATGTAAACGTACGCTACATAATAAGCTTTGGGACATTACATGTACAGATTATAACATTAGTGAATCAGTCACCATTCGTGATCATTTATAGGATTTCTCAACAACAGATTATTTCGCAAAATTCATCATCTTTTTAGTTAGATTTTTGAACCATTCATAATATTCTTTCTCCAACATTCTTTTATTCACTCGAAATCGCGTTTTACGAGCTCATGTGTACTTACTGCATGCAAGAAGCAAAAGGTGACCTTGCGGAAAGCGAGTTAGGAAAAGGGGAAAAGCTGTAAGTTACGAGATAGAATAAAAATAATGAATTCAACACAGATCCATATTATTTGGTCACATTGTCTTCAAATTTCCTTCCACAACCACGTTACACCTCTAGGATTGTTTTTCCCTAGTTGACAATTGAAACTAAAAATAAGACTCGTATACAATAATCTTCTCATAAAATTTATCAAAGTTAAAGAAAGGTAATGCCAATGTCCAACTAAAACTTATTTTTTTCTCAACTTGAGTCCTGAATTAGTGTCTTCTATTTGAGTATAATAACAAGTTATAACATAAAAATCAAAAAATTCTTGGAAATCTCATGCTCATCATGCTAATAACAATTTGGTACTCAACAATAACAATTGAACTAATTATTATGAAACTTCAATTGAATTAATAATAATAACAAATACATGGTAATATGTTATAGATTTAGACATAATAATAACAAATACGTAGAATTTATTCCACTGATTGGAATCTAATTAATGAGGATCCACTATCGGTTGCGCCGCACCCGGTTTGTGCAGATCTCTACTCCTTCCCTTCCTCGGCCACCACCGACTCAAGTTTAGTGCAAAATCCAACTCATCTTGGTTCACATTTTCACAAAGAAACCATTTGAATAAGCTTCTCCAAAATCAAAAGCAATCCCGGAATAAATGAAGTCCCCAACAATAAATTTTTCTCTATAACGCGGTGTTCTCGCTTAAACAATACTAAAATTTTTTTTACAATATTAAGCTATTGATGATTAATTTTTTTCTAGTCAACTTCGCAACATGGGCTATTGACAATAATAAACAAACAATAATATTGAGAAGCCGTGAATTGAGCAAAGAGTAATGCATGACCAACATAGTAGTATTATGCGTACACATTCATATGTGCTTACCCTGGCATCTTCCGAAGCATCTTTTGTTATATCGTTACATACTTATATATATAGGGTGGCGTCAATCACTATACACTCCATCCTCACCTCTGTTCTCCATCTCAATTTCCTCTTTCTGAGAGGAACTTGGATTTTTGGTACCTTTTCAACTTTCTCATTGAAATTGAACTCCTAAGGCATTCCTTTCCTAGGTATTCATTTCCTTTCACTCATTTCAATGATTGTAGTGGTACATTTTATAGTTTAATAATGCATGCATTGTTGTTGACATCTTTATCTTCAGTTCAATTTCATCATATAAGATGAAGCATACCACTTTCAAAATTGAGAACTAAAGAGACATTTCAAAATTGACAGTGTCATCAGATAAGATGAAGCATACCACTATTGCTTCAGTATTTCTTGGAATTTTGGCTTGCTGGAGTGTACTCTCGGTTATTGCTGAAGACCGATATCAGTTTTTCACGTGGGAAATTACTCAGGGAACAATTTCTCCTCTTGGTGTTCCTCAACAGGTTGGTCTTTTTTTTCTTCTTTGTTTTTTTGCATGCCATTTAAAATGACATTCTTTCACACACTTGAAAAGGGTCTGATATTTATTTACTACCTTACCAGGGCATTCTTATCAATGGCCAATTTCCAGGACCTACAATTGAAGCCATCACTAATGACAATATCGTTGTGAATGTCGTTAACAAGCTAGACGAAAAATTCCTCATCACATGGTTTGTGGTTCTTTTCCATTCTGAGGATAAACTAGGATATTAAGGTTGTGAAAGTTGGGTGTATTAACCCTTTTATTCCTGTGGTGTAATGTTAAACAGGAATGGTATAAATTTGAGAAGGATGTCATGGCAAGATGGAGTTTTAGGAACTAACTGCCCAATCCCTCCTAACACCAACTGGACATACCAATTTCAAGTAAAAGATCAAATTGGAACCTACACATATTTCCCATCAACCAAAATCCATAAAGCTGCTGGTGGTTTTGGAGGATTCAACATTGCCCAAAGAATTGTGATACCCATCCCTTATCCTGCCCCTGATGGAGAATTCACCCTGCTTATTGGTGATTGGTACAAGACCAACCACAAGGTTTGTAAATAAATCACTCTCCTCAATTCTTTTATCCAATTATTGCTTTTTATGTGCTCATAGTTCAAAACAATTGTAAAAGAAACTTAATAGTAAACGGGGAGTCACTTTAGATATAGTTGTCTACAGCTATCCTATTTTAACTAAGTATAATCGGTTATATATTAAAATTGCATTTTCTTTCTCTGACACGTCAGCCTGAGGAAAGAGAAAAAAGAACAACTTTATTATTATAATTAAGTATGACCGGTCATACTTAATTAAAAAGAGATAACTGTAGATAACTTTAGTGGATGTAGAAATACTTTTATCATAGTACATATATGACTATGCAATCCATTTCAGGCATCATGGTAGTTATTTGCAAATTAGGATGAAGGGGTTATATTGTAATCTATTAGGAATAATTGAACACATGCAATCTTGATTTGCAGGTACTAAGGAGACTATTGGATGCTGGAAGGAGTCTTCCTTTTCCTGATGCTCTTCTCATAAATGGCCAAAAAGATGTAGCTGTATTTACTGGTGAAGCAGGTAACGCATTTCCATCAACATTTAGCATGTTATTTCCTATAGCTTTAAAATGATGATATAGTTTTTGATTTTCAATGAAATTACCATCAATGGCTATTAAATTTTGTTCAAAATTATATATTTTTAGGGAAGACATACAAGTTCAGAGTATCCAATGTTGGGTTAGCAACCTCAATTAACTTCAGGATTCAGGGTCATTCATTGAAGCTCATTGAAGTTGAAGGTTCCCACACAGTGCAGGAAACGTACGAGTCCCTTGATGTTCATGTGGGCCAATCAATGACTTTTTTGGTCACGCTTAATGGGTCAACCAGTGACTATTACATTGTTGCATCTAGCCGTTTCACCAACCCTATTGTTCTCACTACCACAGCAACTCTTCGCTATGCTGGCTCCAACAGTAGGGCCTCAGGTCCATTACCAATAGGCCCAACTACCGATTCAGATTGGTCCATGAAACAAGCCAGGACCATAAGGTAGGGTATTTTTCGTAAATGAATCCTCATGTGATATAATAAGGTAATATGAGAGAATTTCAGTTGTCCTATACAAATCCATGGTGATGGAAGAATAGAGTAACAGAGGGGGAAGGATTCGTTTACAAACTTTTTTTGAAATTTTTTACAAATTATACTTTGTTCTCCCAGGAGAACATAGTGTAACCAGTGTTCTCCCAGGACATAATATAGTTTGTAAGAGTTGGTAAATAAAAAAGTTTGTAAATATAACTTGTCCCTTAATATAAAGAGTATAAAAATGATAACAGTTTATTTGTATCATCTAATGTATCTATTCATTTTTTTTGTGTGTTTTCAACTGGGAATCTTTTATCATTGCTTCTGAATCTGTTTTGTTTGACAGAATGAATTTAACAGCTAATGCAGCTCGGCCAAATCCTCAGGGGTCATTCCACTATGGAACCATCCCTATTGGAAGGACACTTCAATTGGCAAATTCTGAAGCCACAATAAATAGAAAGCTAAGATATGCAGTGAATGGAATTTCCTACATCAATCCAAGCACCCCATTGAAGATTGCTGATTGGTTTAACATTCCCGGTGTCTTTAATCTTAATACTATCAATGATGTTCCTCCTCCTCAAGGCACCCTTACCAAATTGGGCACATCTGTCCTAGGATTTACCCTTCATGACTTTGCAGAAATAGTCTTCCAGAACAATGAAAACACTGTGCAGTCCTGGCATATGGATGGATCTTTCTTCTTTGTTGTTGGGTAGGACAACTACTTTTTAATTAAATATATAAATATTTTTGTTAATTGGGTTTAATTCAATTTGTCAAATACAAATTAAACAGATTAATCTTCTATTAACTGAATCTAAATATTTAGATATGGAAATGGCATTTGGACACCTGATTCGAGAAAGACTTATAACTTGGTTGATGGAATTTCAAGATACACTATTCAGGTGAGTCAACGCAAATTTTAGCTTCATTGTATTGATAATATCTAGTTACACTCGAAAAAAAAAATTCGTATATTTGACTGACTAGAGTTGCTCTTGCATGCATGCAATGTAAAGGTGTATCCAAACTCTTGGAGTGCCATATTGGTGTCTTTGGACAATAAGGGTATGTGGAACTTGAGGTCTGCAATCTGGCCAAGACGGTATTTAGGACAAGAATTGTATCTAAGGGTTTGGAACAACGAACAGAGCCTATACACTGAGACTAGTATTCCTCCCAATGCATTGTTCTGTGGCAAGGCTAAACACTTACACTAGTCATGGGCTCAGAAGGGATTTATAATTTGGTTATTGGCATAAATTGTAACTCTGAATTTTCTCCTTTTCATTCTTATCATTATTTTGTTTAGAAATTTCAGTTACGAGGGTGTGACTGTCACATAAAGTTTACAAAAAAAAAAAAAAAAAGCAGATATGTTTGAATATTGAGGCCCATGAATGAGAGCTGCTATTTAATTTGATGTCGTATTAGATTATTATTCTTGTAATCATAATAAAAAATTGTTTCCCCACCTCGTTCCCGTTGTTTGCCACGTTCTGTTTCCTTACAAGTTCAACAATCACATATCAATGAGACTGTTAAACTGCAAGTATATTAATCGGGGATATTATGTAATTTAAAGTGAAATTATGTCTAACTTCCTATAAGTTTTGAAATAGGGAAATCATTTTCTTATGTAATAGGAGATAGTTTTTTCATGTTGTGAGACATCGAAATTCGTGCTATCTTTTTAGTTTTTCTTCTTTTTTAGTAAGTGGTGGGCCCCACCACTTATTGTGTCTATGACATGAGAGATGATATCTCATGTGACATGAGAAAAGAGAAGCCCTTTGAAATATTAGAAACAGGTCTGTTGAAATCGAATAAACCACAGTGACCTCCTTTAATTAAATTTCAGTAAACAAGAATAATTGCTGAAATTCAGAGAAAATTTTAGATGTTTTGAGGATGGGAAGAGTTATATTTACAACCTAATTGTTTACAAACTCTTACCACCAAATCTTAATCATTAATTTCTGTCAATCTAATGATTATAATTTATGAAAAATTAATAATTAACTAATAAGTGTAACTTAATAAATTATAATCGTTAGATTAATAAAGATCAACTATTAAAATTTAGTTGTAAAAATTTGTAAATAATTTACGTTGTAAACATAACCCCCTCTTTGAGTATTATCAAAAAGAGTTTATTTTTTCTTTATTATTAAATGCATTTCTGTTGTTATTTGTTATAATACAATTAAAGGGAAAATAACAATGACCTATATGATGAAGATTTTACGCATTTAGTAGTATAAAATACAATAAAACCTTTTGATCCTAAATCACGAAAATCTATTTGTGAATTGTGAGTCCTAACTAATTAGGTTTGTTATTGACTGACCATATAGACTAAGAGCATGTGTGTGGCTTGCGGTCTGCACTGTTTTTTTTTTTTTTTTTGGTAATCAATAGGGCACAGCCCAAACAAAATAAAAAGAAAACAAACCTAGCCTGGAAGGGAAACTATATGTTCCCTTTCAACAGACGCAAGGATTGCTACATAAATCAAACTAATACCATCTGGAGGAGTCTCAAACAAGACATGGTCACTAGCATCAGATGAATTAAGCAAGTAATTAGCCATCCAATCCGCGCACATATTGCCTTCCCTATAAGTATGTTGCAGATGTACCTCCCAATATTTATTTAACCATGTCTGTACTCGAGATATAAGGTGAATCTTGCGGACTGCTGCACCACTCTTGGTGAGCCCAGTGATAGCTGATAGCGAATCACTTCCCAAGAATATTCTTCTAAAACTAGCACGCCACGCCTCCTCTAAACCATGCAAAATACCTCAAAGTTCTGCTCTAAAAGCTAAGCAAAATCTCAACTTAAACGCAAACCCTCTCAGCCAACCACCTTGAGAATTCCTGATCACACCCCCACAAGCTGCTAACCCAGGATTTCCACGAGCTGCTCCATCAGTATTGATTTTCACAAAATTTTCCTCAGGAAAATTCCAAGCTATATTAACATTAGTAAATCTTTTTGAAGGATGCTGCATTCTACTATCATTTGCTTGTTTCACCTCCATAAAAATTTATTGATGAGAGTTATCCTGGCTTCCAAAGGAGGAGCCACTTCATCATGATTTATTGAATTCCTCCAATTCCAAATCTTCCAACATGCTGAGAGAAATAAAGTTAACCAATCAGCCGAATTACCATAAATATGATCTACCCCAAAGTTGAAAATAAACCACGTTCTTGGATCCTGAGTAAAAAAATTTCCAACTCTATTCGTAGTTATAAGACCCTCCCATAGCCTCCTAACACTTGTACAATCTCTTAAAACATGAAGCAAAGATTCGACATCTCTTTTGCAACATGGACAAAGATTTTCTGCTCCACTCCACTGTGCAATTCTCTCTTTTGTTAGCAAACGTTGGTGCACCATCTTCCAAGCAAACACTTTGATCTTCTGTGGTCCATTCCAGGTCCATAGCTTTTTCCAAATTTTCTGCATGTTTTCATCTGTTGTAGTCTGATCCGATAAACAACTGTATAAGGCTCTAACCGAAATTGAATCAGAATCAAGAAGATACCATGTTTTTTTATCAGGACCATCCAACGGATTGGGGGGAAGCTGACTACGGATGATGTCAACGATATTCCTTGGAAGCCAGGAATTCAGCAAATCAAAATTCCACTCCCCACATCATTCACCATATCTGCAACTTTGGTTTCAAAATTTACTTCTTGATTGTCTCCCACATAGCATTCCTCCAAAGCTCTCGATTCTAGCAGCCATCTATCTTTCCAAAATATAGCTTCCTTTCCATCTCCCACTTTCCAAACCAGATTATTCTCCAATTTATGCCATAGCCTGCTCAAATTTATCCAGAGCCTAGAGTCACCCTTGCGAGTCTTAAATACCTCATCAGTTCTACTCCCTGTCATATACTTTGCATGCATAACTTGCACCCAAAGTTGATGAGGTTCAGAGTATATTGTCCAGGCTTTTTTAGCCAAGAAAGCATCGTTCATACACTCAAGACACTTCAAACCAAACCACCAACTTCCTTTGGAGGCGTAATGGTCTTCCAACTAATGGCATGATGCTTGCGATGCTCTTCTGTATCTTCCCATATAAAATATCTCTGCAACTTTTCCAATATTAAGCAAACCGAAGAGGGCAATTTGCAGCTTTGCATCTGAAAAAAAGGGATCGATGCTAAGACTGATTGAGATAAAGTTATGCGTCCAGCTTGAGAGAGACAAAGCTTTTTCCAGTTGCTCAGTCTGTCTTGAACTTTTAATTGTTTAACTTCATTTTAAGGTTGTTTTTTCAAAAAAAATTATCATTTTGTCCCTTTTCCCAAACTATACACCAATTTATTTATGTTTTGACTAGTTGACCACCACTTACTCAAGTAAATGAGCATAAACTTATTTTTCATATACAATCACTCTATTAAGCCTCTTCAATCACCCTCAAGTGATAGAAAATAAATGTGTCAAACTGGCATATATCTTTGAAACAACACCACATGAAATTCCTTTGTCTTTCTCAAAACCCCTCAAAAAATCATCTTTTTAAAACAAAATTTGACCAGATCTCCTCCGAAAATTTGTCATCGCATAGATCTCAAAAATTTACATGCAATAAAAAAATCATCTGATTAAGATAACCGAGCCAAAAGCTATGTTCTTTCAAAATTTACACCATTTTAATGTATAAAGAGCTGAGAGGGAGTTGTCCTCAATTGTTTTGAACCTGTAAACCCATATGTGAAGTCAAATATGTGTGTGCATGATATAATAAGTATGGATTAATAAAAAAAATGAACCCAATTTAACAAGTCATATTGAAAATCATGTTTTGACACTTTGAATTGAACGAGGACTACTCTCAATTGTAAAGGATCCACAAACACCCATTCCAAGTCCATTCATATATTTACAAGGCATTAGAACTTCGTTTCAATAAAAAATGTTCATGAATTCAAATTTGAGTAACTCACTTTTCTGATTTACTCGAGTAACTGAACCAATTACTCTAATAAATGTCGGTCAAATATGAACTTATTGGTATATAGTTTTGATAAAATATTAAAATTAATATATGGTTTAAAAAGGGAGCACAGTGGTGAAAAAAAATTTAAATAGAGCACAATGATCAATCATCCTCATTTTAACTTAAATTGATATTTGAATAACTCACTAAATACATTCTTCATTGAAAATTTTGATTCACACTGACCATAATTTTATATATCTATTGACATAATATTGAAAATAATTTTTATACTTAAACTCAATTTTCGAAAAAATTACTTTACAGTAAACGTGTTTGATATACACCCACACAAAATTTATATATTTAGTTTTGGAAATTATTCAATCTCACCTAAAAGGTGGAAACTTTAAGAAGTTCATGGGGGCTACACAAGGTGGCGCCTATGCTTTTTCCGCAGTTTGACTAGAATTGACGTTACTAGGATTGGAAACAGTTCATACTGAAGTTCCCAACGCTGAACAACTAAAGATGGGGCATAAATGGGGTTTGTGTTTATTATTATTTTTCCTTAAAGGAATATTTTATCTGTACCTGACATTTTAAGTTTGAGTTATACTTTACTACAGGTTAGTTAATCATTAATTATTAAAATTTATCATATAATTAACCGACTAACGATATGTATTTTTCCAACTATAATTGGTAAATTTTAATCAAATTATAAATGTTAAAGATTAATAACAATCAATACCAACTTTTAGGAGGGATTTGAAGTCTTAATTCCGAGACTCGTCCCAAATTAGACTAATCGTAGAGCGTTGAGTATAAGAACCTGCACCGTTAATTAAGAAATTTAATTAATTAATTATGTGATTAACGAGATAATTCCATAATTGATCCTAATAATTAGATAAGGCTTAAATAAATATGGTAAGTGATTAATAATGTTGAAAGTCGCTTTTCGGACGAAAAGTGCAGATATCGATTCTGCTCCACGGTATAAATGTGTACCGATGAAGTATCCCGAAAAATTATGAAAAGTACGTATATGTCACTAGAAAAATATATAGGACTGACATAACAAGTTTCAGGTCGAAATAATGAGAACTGGTGCCAGAACTGATACAGGCTATGTAAAAGCGCGTATCGAAAAGGTGCTGCGAAAAATAAAATAAAAATATGACAAATCTTAGAAAAATGAGTAGGTTCAGAATTCTAAGTTTGGGATTAAAATGCTAAGCGTAGCTAT